TATCGGCTACATGAGTTTTAAAATATCGGCATATCGGATATCGGCCAAAATCCCAATATCGTGCATCCCTAAATACAAGCGCATCTGGGCCCTTTTGATCAGTGAGGTAGTGTTTACAGATGATAGAGTTGGGCTTTCCTTCCAGTGTTTAGTCCCGTTTCTCTCCTGAATGTATAGCTCAGCTTTTACTATGACTAACTTTAAAAGAAATATAAAATATAAAAACTTGCACAGAGCTTGTCTGCTGAACCGTTCCTTTCTTAACCAGAGCCACTGTAATGTGCCTTGAGATGACAGGTGTTGTGAATTTGCGCTATATACATAAACTGAATTGAATTGAGTTAATTTACAGTTACCTTTTCTAACATTAAAAGTATATATAGATCAGTGCTTCTATGTTCCTCTGGTATGTCTGCTTCTGTCTCCTGTTACCCCATTCACGCTCAGAAGAAGCTAGAGCCTGACTCTGCAGACGGTTCCTGTTAAAAGGGAAGTTTTCCTCAGAAACCAGATGTTATCAGCTGGTTTTCCTTAGGAAGAAAACTTTTAATCAGTCTGACTGGCTGACCCGGTTGATCCATCTCTGAGATGACATGATTAAAATTGGAGCTATAGAAATAAACTGAAATGAAAATTAAATAAAATTTAATGGAGGCTCTGTTGGACCAAGGGACCGATTCCAGCTGCTCCGTTCAGCACCGTGACTCGCTCCGCCATCACTCTTTGATAAAGCAGGCTAGACCCTTCCAAGGCTTTAATAACAGCTGATTTAACTTTAAGCTTTTTTTTAAGCATTTCCAATAGTTGTTAGTGTGGTTTACGTTTATTTTTTTTAACCTACTTCATGTTGTCAGATGGGTTCTAACAATCATTTCTAGATCTTACAGTTCTGGACCTTGAGAGGCTTCCTGGGGTGACTGAAATTAATATGAATAAAACTATATTTGGTTAATTTATAGGTGAATTATGTTTCTCTTAGGAAATGCTGGTTAAGATCATTTGTTCTCTTAAATTAATCAGAATTACAATAAATATTTTGTGTGTTCAGGTTATCTTAGCTTGATACTGAAAATGTTCTTGATGTGAACATTAAAGTAAGAAGAGAAAAACACAGACGCAATTTGTAATAGTAAAAAAAATACTTTATGACATCAATAAATAACCAGGTTTAACCAGCAATCTTTAAAAGCCCCAAAAACAATCTTAGGAATGTAAATATTTTAAGAAAATGTGCCCGTTTCTTTTAAAGCGGAGCTTGTGAGTCTGACTCTCCTTTGAACAGGGAATTTATGGTGTTTCAGGAGGAATCCACCTGCACAAGGCTGTGATAAAACCAGTGGCCTGACATCCAGGCGTCCATCTTAATGCCTGCTGAAAATAGCCCTCAGTGTAATGAGAGAGGGATGACTGGGATGAAGTGTCGCAGGGGAACTCAGCCTCCAGCAGAACACCTACGCAGCGCTGCAGCATATTTATCTGGTGACTTACGCAAAACCTCCCCTCCCAGTCTGAGCGCGGCCACACTCCTGCTGCAGGAAATTAGCATCCCAAAGGGCCCTTCACTTCCACATCCAACCAACACTTCTTCTAAAACTAAGTCTGCCTCATAGAGCACTTCAGGACACTAAGACCCACATGGAGTCTGCTTTTTGGCTGGATCTAATTGTTCAGCTTAAATGGATGGAGACGGTTTGCTACCGTTAATCTATCAGGAAAGAACGCAGCTGTTAGCGGAAAAAATCCACAGATAAAACGTTGAAAAACTTCTTAATCAAAAAAGAAAATATTTTAGGACTAAATGCGCCCTCCTCTGGACAAGACTCTGCTGTCCATGTACAGCTGATGGACAAAGGACATTCTTTGGAAGACCAGAATGTTCACATTTTGGACAAAGAAGACAGGTGGTTTGAGAGGCGCGTGAAGGAACCCATCTATGTTAAGAGAGACTCAGATTTCAGCTTTCAAAAACCTACAGAAGACCTCACCTGTTTAGAAATAAGGATGTGGCTCTCTGTTTCCATTACATGTAGGTTCTAAAACAACAACCACCCACAGTATGTATGTAGAGCCATCAGCTTTCTATTTAATAAAACATCAGCAGACCCGTACTGCATTCCCCATCTTCACCTGTAAGATCACCTTTGTTTCTAGCAATCTGTTCATTTCTAAAAACACACTAACAAATCATCAAGATGCTTTGCCATGAGGCGCACTGCCATTTTGGATGCGTGACGTCAATTCTTTCTCCTATTTTCACTACATTTCCACTGGTTATGTCCTGTGTTTTTAGAGAATAATGAAACCCACGGCGGCGTAAAGTATAAACGTCTTTGGGTTCCCTCCTAATCTGCAGAGACGGGCGTGACGGCCCAAGGTTCCAGTATCACTCAGCCTTCGGTCTCTACAGTCTATTTAACAATCATTGGCTGGTCAACGCGAGGTGTTGTCTGCCCATTGGGCCCACTGCTGGAATGCTATTGAGGCTCAAAAAGTGACTGGGACTAAACACTATCAAGATGGACACCTGGATTATATAACCGTGTTTTATCAGGATCTAATGTTTTTTGGTGTTTTTATGCATGTTGGTGACTAAGCCCCTTTAAATCTGAAGGTTTTAGTTTTCATGCGACGTCTGAAACTGAACTCAACTCTGTGTTTTTTAGACCATAATCCCAAACCTTAGAGACGTAACTTTGTCATGATTCTGTTTAAGTTTTCTTTTTGAGTTTTCAATGGTTTTATTTCCATTTTGTGTTCTAGTAGTTTCTGTATGTATTTGAATTCTTGTGTATTTTTTGTTTTAGCCTCTGCTGCCCTCTTATCAGTCTGTTTCTCCCAGCTCCCTTCTAGACTCTTCTTTCCACACCTGCTCCTCGTCTGCTAATTAGTCCTCCCATTGTTTCCGTCTCCCATATATATTCCTCCTGTTCATTCACCCTTTTCTGGTTCCTTGTCGTTTCTTGGCTCCTTGTGTTCCTTTTCCCTGATGCCTTTCATTATTTAGCTGATTCTATATTTTGTAATTTTTGGATTTTTCCTTCCGTTGCCACCTTTTTGTTATTAAATCTGCTAGAAACCACCTCAGCTTCTGTTTCTGCATTTGGGTCCTTCAAACCTCCACTCAAGCTGACAACCTTTGTAACAGATAAAGTTGATTAATATTATGTTTCTAGAATAGCTTCTTAAAGGCCCAGACTTTCAACTTAAAGATATTTTAAAATTAAATCAAATTTTTGATTAAAAACCAATCAATTCTTTAAAGGGGAGTGATAAAATATTACATGGTCCATTCGGATCTTCTTTAGGCTAAGAATCCATTTATTTGTGGAAATGTATGTATAAAAGTTTTAAATCATTGCATTTGTATGTTGGATAGTCAAATAACCTCCGGAAAAGACAGTTTAAATACATTAAGCCCAACATTACCATAACATTCATGTCAATAACTGCATAAAATCATCTGAACTTCATCATGCTGAGCTAATCTGAGTCATTCTGGCCGAGGGGCCCCAGTTTGAATCATTTCAGTGAATGGATTTGATTGGAGAGGATGCTGGAGCAATTATCCAATCAGCCGTTATTACAGCCAAAGCTAATCAGATCAGGTAGGGGTCAGATGCTCTTTCGTGTTCCAGAAGGTCTTTTTTTAAATAAAAGCAGCAGAATGAAAGCCGTATATCTTTGCCTGTGTAGGAGTGCAAAACATGCAGGGTGAAACTATTCCTGGAGTTACGTCACCCTGTTCTGCATCTTAGCATCCGGTTGATCATTTATCCCACCTGGCCTGCAGTGTCCAGGATCTCCATGGTGACAACTTCATCATCAATGTTGGCTTGATGTCGATACGTCGATTCTGTGAGCGACAAAAAAGGAAACCAAGCGGTTTATATTTTATAAATTCAGTTTTGATTCATTGGTTGATGATGGTGACAAATTTCTAATGTGGGAGAGAAACTCGGCCTTGTTGAGTTTCTAAGTTGGTGCATTTGGTAAAGTGGAGGGGAAATGGCTTTAATTTAAATTAATTTAAATAAACATTCTCAGTTAAAAGGGATCTGCATCATTCATGGATACAGGAGTAATTTAGCTCAAAGAATGTCCCGTTAAATAAGCAAAAATCAGGACAAAAGCAGGTAATTGATTCTTAAAGGGATCCACGGTTTGTTTTAACAATAGAATTTATTTGAGAAATATTGAATTCCAAAAAATACAGTAAGCTGTTTAGTTTTAATGAATTTAAACATCACAGAGACGTCTCTATGTGGTTTAAACTGCAGTGAATTCTGTGTAAATGACGTATGGTAGGTTATGTAGCGCTAGCTCTGTTCAGTTAAAACTACAATGCATAAAGTTAAAAGTTTTTTCTGTTTGAACTGAAATGCATTGAAATCGATAAGAATGTAGAAATAACAAAAGGTGATGATGCTCTGCTAATGTTAGCCTTCCTGAGTTGCTTTCAGTCCAATAAGAAGTGATCACATCGTTTACCCAGCATGCATTGCTCAGGTGGAAAAAAAACTGCAATGTCCATGGTTGAAAACTATAAAAAAAAAGGATGTATAACTATTTTAATTAATTTTGATTTTTTTTTTTTTTCCCAAATGGTGATTATTTTTAAGGTAATAAAAAAATTACAACATACAGCAATAGCCATTCAAAATTTCCCAACTTTCCTTGGCTGGTCCCTTCAATTAATTTATATACATCTAAAATATTCTTTGTCATGATTTTTGAACATTAAGATGGAGAAGCGCCACCTCATGGTCAGACCCTGTAATTCAGTGAAAGGGCGGAGTCAGAGTAAAACAGTATGAGAAGGCCAGTGGCTGGAAGTTGGAGGGGATTCGGCTGCTATTGGGATGGCGTTGGGCTGGAGTAAGGTTGATGTTGGGCTGGAGTAGGGCTGG